GGGATACATCCTCTTCCCTCCATTGTTATCGCATCTACATTGGGCAACAGTAAAGATTTACCCACTACCATCATCACCACAAACAACACCCAGGGCATAACATATATTCACTTCAGTTCGCATCCTTAACCACAGGTCACATGATTTTTTTGTAGTACCCCCACTGTATCATACCCTTTGGGCCCCCGGGCTTCCCTCCCAAGTCCCACCGGGTCACTTTAATGCTCAAATCCTTTCTCCCTGTTGCAGATTTTCCAAGTTCAACCCCGTATTCAGTTGTTCATCACATTACACTCCGGTTAAACCTGCATTCTCTCCACATATTCTCTATCTTTTCTCTCTTCTCTAACTATCCATATTACATTTAACTTACTGGGTCTTCCCATTGTCGGATGTAACATAGCTTGTCAGCCCAATATTCTCACCACACACCATCGGATCATCTCTTTAGTAGAACCACCCTAACCCATTCACCCCACCCACTCACATATTTTCCTCAATATTAATATCTACACACCCCCATATTCTTCAAACTCCAATCAGTCTCATGAAACCCACCCCCCTTCCTGCATCATTCTATTCTTCTCACCGCCCCCTATCTTTCACATTGCACATTTATTAAACACTCTTCTCTTCAACCTCCTCAACCAATACGCTCTAAAACTTCTATTCTTTTTTTTTCACCTCCGTCAAATCTTTTCTGATATTTTATATCCTTTGTATCTGCTCCCACTCAGCTATCACCCAGACAGACCAGCCCAAAGTACCCACCACTTCACAAACTTCCATTTTCTTTTTTGCCCCAGACTCAATTCAGGAAAAATACCTCTTTTAATATTTTTTATTCTTTTCACTAGGGGGGCGCCGGACACTCTCCCCGTAGGGACTCCCCACACTCGTTATTCCAACGATCACCTCACCTGTCATATCCCATTCACCGGACACATCACACCTTCCAATCTCCACATCCTATTTCTCGATCCACTACATGATCAGGAGTTCCATACCCCATATCTAATGCCCCTTCAAATAATATCCCTGCACCCCTCAAACGATATCATATCACACACTCATTTCCATGATACAGGGGCTGTGATCCGGGAAAATCTGGACATCGCCTGACACTGTCTTACTATACCCACCTACATATATTAGGATCTGATTCGATCTATCTTATATATATATCCATACAATTCTGGAGTACATGCCCCTCTACCCATGGAGATACAGTATTCAGATAAGCGCCCACCCAACCACCCAACTAGCCACTTCTCATGACATCTACTCACCATATACTCTCACCACACCTCCTATCCAATACTGGATGTACCCTCCTTCAGGATTCTCAGAGCGCTACCACCAAATCTCACTACACATGGAAGATGTCGTATCCCATTTGTGGGTCCATACCAAAAATTCAGTTCAGACCCCCCCTATCCAAAACGTGCCATTCTTAAAGGCCACCTCAGTTTTCTCACGGGACGCCATTCACATAATCACCACCTTTCTGGTCTTCTTCTCTCTGGGCAGTAGGATTAATTTACAATTGTACATTTTGCTCTTGTAATCGACCCTTTAAATAAACAGAAATCTTCCCTCAGGATCAACCTCTCTTCTCATCTATACTCCAGCACCTTAACATTTTTTTCAAAATCCGATATGCTACTCCTACCTTAGCTATCTTGATTGGGGAATCCGCATAGAACCATGTAGAGGTAACTTCTAGAGTACAACTGTATATATTTGACTTAATTCTATGTGTGTTCTCCTGCCAGGAAAATACCCTACCGAAGCCTCCCTGCATACTGTTACTCCTCTAAGTATTTTAATTCTCTTCCCAGCGGACTAATTCTAATATCCCTATACATTATTAAGTTACAAATCGGATAATAGTCCATCTTTCATTGTCTTATCCTTTCTCTCTTTCCATATACTCTTTCTCGCCCATGCAACAGAACGCTGCTTACCCTCTAAAAACCCCATCGATCCCTATTCCCTCCCCGCCATGTCGGAAATTCCAGTCCTACCCAACCTCCCCTCCTCCCTATCCCAACAGGCCTCCTTGTTGCCCTCGGATTCATTAACCCCTCTTCGGATCCCTATATTAGGGTTCTGAATACTCTGGCAATGACGCTCACCTTTTACCCCCTCTCCTTCACCCCTGTTACCCCTTATCTATTATTTCTATATTTCCTCTTTCGACCAGCTGCCACTCTCTTGGGAATATTTGTTCTTCCCTTTATTCTTTTTCCATTTATTTCTTCTCTTCTCTGTTAGTTATGAAGTTTATCAATTATATCCCTTGGTTTTTCTACCCCTTTTTCTTGTTGATACTTCCCAATCCTGTATACTTCATCCCCCAATTTAAGCATCTCCTCCTCCGATTTATCCATTATAAAGATCAGAATTTTGGCAGTTAGTTCTTTTAAATCTTCTCCCTGTGTCAGTTCCGGGACTCCTCTTACTCTAAGATTATTTCTCCTTTTCTATTTTGTTGTTCTTCCATCATATAAAGCAATCTCTTTTGTTCTTTTCTATCTTCCATTATCCACTTCTCTAATTTAGGGATGGCCTGATCTTGGGCATGAACCTTCTCCTCTATTTCCTCCACCCTAGTTAATAATTGTCCCAAGTCTTCTCGGATCATCCCCCATCTCTTGCTTTATTGATTTTTCCAAGCCTTTAAACATTTCCGCCATTTCTTTTTTATTAGGTATTTGCATATCTCTTTCAAGTTCTCTCGGTTCAATGCCTTCCAATTGACTATTATATACTGGGCCCAGGGAGAGTCTCGGGCTATTATCCAAGCTTATTTCCAAATCACTTTTTTCACTTATTCCTTGGGATCTTTCTGGGGTAACGTTTCCTTGTGACACATATTTCTTGATCGTACCAGTTTGGGTGTTCTTAGTCCCACTCCCTTTGGTATTTTTACCTTTCATGTTATTTTTGGAACTTTTTGCTCTTATTTCAAGGAACTCCTGTTCTCTTACACCTCCCAATCTTCAGACCCACCCTGGGAATCTCCTGTTTCTTCAAATTAAATTTTTAATACAAAGTCTTATTATAGGCACATGGGAATCTAGTGCGGAGACTCAATGTATGTATAGGTCTGATATACAAGTCCAATGTATATAGAGTGTTAAAGAGGACCTGCAGGAATCACTCACCCTCCTCGCTGGAACTCCACTCCAAGAGCGTTCCTCCTCTATAATTGTGTCCTCTAGGAGGGATTCCTATGGATCTCATTTACCTCATATAGCTTGTCTTCTCATCACATGGCTCCTTAAATTGAAGGTGGTTCACGAGTTGAAAACACAATGGAAAAAAAAAAAAAAAAAAAAACAGGAGTAATGTGGAAGTTGGAGGTTTTAGCCGTTTTAAGGAGGTGATACTATAAAACTGTTGAACTGCAGAGCTGATATGATGTGGTATATAGGTAGTGTTGAGATGTGGGTGAATAGAGGAGACAGGACGATGGTGGGCAACTATAAATGTTGTAATATTGTAAATATATTATATTGTGGGGCAATACAATATTTACCCAGCATCTCTTCACCCACTTACTCAGCTGTCAGATGTCGGGCACCTCTCTCTCTCTCTCGCGCTGACACTCGGAGCTCCCAGAGCTCCTCTGCGGCTTCCCACGTGTCGGGGGCCGCTCCAATGCCTCAGCCGTCTCAGTGGCGTCTCCCTGGCAACCCTACTCCTCCTCCGAGGCCAACGCTAGACAGCAGGGGAAGCCACGAGGCTTCCTTCTCCCGGCACTCTCCTGGATCCAGGCTCCGACTGTTTCCCCGACAACTCCACACGCTCCTCCGCAGACGCCGGCGGCCGTCAGGGGACAATAGAACTTTGGAAATATATACTAGTTCTGATGCAGTGACTCAATAAAATGTTACAGCATTATCACATCACAAAATAGCACATGTGTACATGTATTAGGAAATGGATGCTTTCAGAAGAAACTAACACATGTGCTATGTGGCAAATCCATTCTGGACTCCTTCCATGTACTTCAATATATCACAAATACTTTTGCTTGTGCTGTGTGATAGGGTACATTTTTTGTTATATTTCACTTATACCAGTACTTCAAATGAGATACACTTGACTATTCTGGTAGCATCTCATTAACCATTATGTCAAGTAATGCTCTGAAGCAAACCCAAAACACAGCAAATGAAAAAAGGGATACATTTCGGAAGGCAGCTAGTTAAACCGCAGCATCTGGGGACACTTGTGATGGAATGTGAAGCAATTACAAGAAAATCTATATTAGATTTGAATCTTCTTTTCCTCATCTGCAAGTGTCAGGTAACATTTTGTGCCTGAATTGCATGCCTTTTCAACAGCTCCCCTGTTAATTGTACATTATTAGGCATGTCATAAATATGCAACCTAAGACTGGTGCTAGGCTGCCATCTGCCAGTAGGACTGCCTGGTGACTTTTTGTGGTGCACATACAACTTTTACTTATTAGTAATGGTTACGATTAGTAATAATAATTATATTATTATTAGCAATATTATTCAATTACTACTGTACACTTCCAAGTATGTGCACATACTGTATTGGTGAACATGCACAGCGCAAGCTAAAAAACCCCCAAAACAAACACATGGGTTTTGAGCATTACTACAATATGCACGGTTTCAAATAACTTACCTTATAAGTCTTATAAACTTCCTTCACTGTCCATGCAACTATCACTTTTGGGATTAATAAATGTATTCAGGAATAAAAGAACCCCAATAACCACTACCCTATTAGACTGTAAGCTCTTATGAGCAAGGCACTCCTATCCCTGTTGTATTGTATTATAATTGTACTGTCTCCATTTATATTGTAAAGCTGTGCAAACTGCTGACGCTATATAAATACTCAGTGGTGTATTTTGGTTTTGTGCTGCCCTAGGCAAGACTAAAATCGGGTACCCCCCTCCCCTGCATCTAAATTTGTTCCACCCTTTCATCTGCAAACTCCACGCCTTCCTATTAGAGCTCCGCCCACTGACAACAATGGGGCGCTATTCCTCCCACTGACACTAATGATGGGGCACTATTTCTCACACTGACACCAATGATGGTGCCCCATTGTGACGGGAGTGACTTTTGGGAGTGGGGGGACCTCTGTATCATCTCCCCAAATCATTATGTTTAACCCACCCTGTGCCTGTTAAGGGTTACAGGGTGTGTATGTGAATGTCTCAGTATTGTGTATAGTGTGTGTTCCTTTGTCTATTACCATGTGCTACCCCCCATTGTGCTGTGTCTTCTGGCCCAGCCAACTATTATGGGATGTCCTGTTTGTGTATTGGTGTGGGGGTTGGTCAATGTCCTTTGCCACATGGTTGCATCCCATTGTTCTGTGTCTGGTTGGATGGGGAGGGGTGATGAGGTGTTTCCTGCCTATACTGTAGCCCTTCCCACTGAGAGGGTGGGCTGATGATGTATGTCCTGTTCCTGGATGTGTTTCCCCGCCCTCTGTATATATTCTGTGTTTTGTGTAAAATAAAGAGTAGTTGGCTTCCTGTTTTAGTAAGAGCTGGGTATTGTCTATTTTCCTGAGGGATTTCGAGGGTGGGGTCCGTGGATGGTGTTCGGACAGGGGAAGTTGTGCTATAACGGAATATACCCAAGTGCGGTCTGGGTTCCGGTTCCGTTACATTGGTGGCAAGCGGTGGGATTGTGCTTCCAGCTGTAAACACATCCAAACCACCACCGGGATTCAAGATCAGGAAAAGACGTCAGTCACCCCAGTGGAGCTATGGACCTGGCATCAGAGTTCCCAGGGCTGCTGCAGATCATCCTTGCAACATACCCCAGGACTGTGTCTATGGATCAGTACCTGGAGCTCAGGCAGCGGATTTGGGAGGTGCTTTGGAGAGGAGCGGTCCAGGCTGCTGGTATGGACAAAGGCAAGTGCTATCCAACCCCAGGGGAACGAGTCAGGGACCATTGGAAGTTAAGGATGCCATTTCTGGGAGAACAACCTCAGGAGCATTTGTTGGCTGAGTTGGACAGACTGGTCCAGCAGGAGATAGAACTGGACAAAAGATATCGGGCTCTGCAGTGGTACGCAGAGCAGGAATATTTAGGGGTGTCCACAGAGTGCTCTCCTGAGGGACTTGACTTTGGTGGGCCTGGATTGCTGTGGGAGAGCCTTACAGACCTTTTTGTGTTTGGCGATAGAGGAGAACCTACTCTGAAGGAGTTACGAGAAGGCAGAGAGGTTATGTTTGGTCTCACAGGGGTCTCCGAACTTAAACCAGATCTGGAATACCTGCTGAAGAAAGAACTGGATCTGGAAAGAGCATACAGGCAGCTGCTAGGACATGTTCGGCAGCATGCCCAAGAATCAGCAGTGGAAATTCCAGAGACTGGGGATCTGATAGACCTCTCAGCTGAGGAGGAACCAGCAGTAGACCTGGCAACAGGGCCAAACAGTACTGAAATCTGCCCAGCACTGGTAATGTCTCCTGAGTTCCACGGACAGGAGATGGAGAGTCCTGATCCCCAAACCCCAGTTCCAGAGGCTGGGGATTTCATTGATTTTTTTTCTGAAGAGGAACCAGCCGGGGAGCCACCAGCTGAAGCGCTGACAACTGGACAGAGGGTCCAGGACCTCTGCCCCATGCCTGTGGTAGTTTCAGAGGCCCAGGGTGAGAAGGGAGAGGAGGTTGTTGTCCTCTCTCCCCCACAGTCAGCCAGAGTGGAGGAAACTCTTTTCCCTCCCAAGCCAGGATCTGTGCACCAGAGGGACAGTGACAGAGGAATGCCATCCCAGCAGCAGATCCAAAGTCTGGGAGTGGAGGAAGTCGGTCTCCCTTCTCTACAGTTAGCCGGAGCAGATGTGGGGTCCCCAGCAGAAGTGCTGGCACCAGGGCAGAGCGCCGCTGGCCTCTGCCTAGCAACTACAGCCACCACCTGGATACCCCAGGGATGCTGGGCAGTCGGCCCAGATCCCCCACAGAAGGATGGAGGAGGCCCAGCCACCCTGTCTTCTCTCCAGCGGCTGAGAGGATTTCCGGGAGAAGGACCAGTCCGTACTTCTCCCCAGCGGCGAGTATGTTCTACGGGAGAGGCAGAGGTTGGCTGGGTGAGTAATGCTTGGTGTGGGACAATTTGCATGGGGTACTGTGTGGGTGCTGGTATTGAGAGACTGGAGGTGCAGAGTAACTTCAGAGTACATCCGTCTGGGATCTACTCCTGCGTTACTCTCCTGCCGAAAGGGGAGATATGTGACGGGAGTGACTTTTGGGGGTGGGGGGACCTCTGTATCATCTCCCCAAATCATTATGTTTAACCCACCCTGTGCCTGTTAAGGGTTACAGGGTGTGTATGTGAATGTCTCAGTATTGTGTATAGTGTGTGTTCCTTTGTCTATTACCATGTGCTACCCCCCATTGTGCTGTGTCTTCTGGCCCAGCCAACTATTATGGGATGTCCTGTTTGTGTATTGGTGTGGGGGTTGGTCAATGTCCTTTGCCACATGGTTGCATCCCATTGTTCTGTGTCTGGTTGGATGGGGAGGGGTGAGGAGGTGTTTCCTGCCTATACTGTAGCCCTTCCCACTGAGAGGGTGGGCTGATGATGTATGTCCTGTTCCTGGATGTGTTTCCCCGCCCTCTGTATATATTCTGTGTTTTGTGTAAAATAAAGAGTAGTTGGCTTCCTGTTTTAGTAAGAGCTGGGTATTGTCTATTTTCCTGAGGGATTTCGAGGGTGGGGTCCGTGGATGGTGTTCGGACAGGGGAAGTTGTGCTATAACGGAATATACCCAAGTGCGGTCTGGGTTCCGGTTCCGTTACACCCATCATTAGTGTCAGTGTGTGAGGAATAGTGCCCCATCATTGGTGTCAGTGTGAGGAATAGTACGCCATCATTAGTGTCAGTGTGAGGAATAGTACTCCATCATTAGTGTCAGTGGGAAGAATCGTGCCCCATCACTGGTGTCAGTGGGAGGAATAGTGCCCCATCATTAGTGTCAGTGGGAGGAATAGTGCCCCATCATTAGTGTCAGTGGGAGGAATAGTGCCCCATCATTAGTGTCAGTGTGAGGAATAGTACTCCATCATTAGTGTCAGTGTGAGGAATAGTACTCCATCATTGGTGTCAGTGGGGAATAGTGCCCCATCATTGGTGTCAGTGGGAGGAATAGTGCCCCATCATTGGTGTCAGTGGGAGGAATAGTGCCCCATCATTGGTGTCAGTGGGAGGAATAGTGCCACATCATTGGTGTCAGTTGGAGGAATAGTGCCCCATCATTGGTGTGAGTGGGAGGAATAGTGCCCCATCATTGGTGTCAGTGGGAGGAATAGTGCCCCATCATTGGTGTGAGTGGGAGGAATCGTGCCCCATCATTGGTGTCAGGGGGAGGAATAGTGCCCCATCATTAGTGTCAGGGGGAGAATAGTGCCCCATCATTGGTGTCAGTGGGAGGAATAGTGCCCTATCATTGGTGTCAGTGGGAGGAATAGTGCCCCATCATTGGTGTCAGTGGGAGGAATAGTGCCCCATCATTGGTGTCAGTGTGAGGAATAGTACTCCATCGTTGGTGTCAGTGTGAGGAATAGTACGCCATCATTAGTGTCAGTGGGAAGAATCGTGCCCCATCATTGGGGTCAGTGGGAGGAATCGTGCCACATCATTGGTGTCAGTGGGAGGAATCGTGCCACATCATTGGTGTCAGTGGGAGGAATAGTGCCCCATCATTGGTGTCAGGGGGAGGAATAGTGCCCCATCATTAGTGTCAGTGGGAGGAATAGTGCCCCATCATTAGTGTCAGTGGGAGGAATAGTGCCCTATCATTGGTGTCAGTGGGAGGAATAGTGCCCCATCATTGGTGTCAGTTGGAGGAATAGTGCCCCATCATTGGTGTGAGTGGGAGGAATAGTGCCCCATCATTGGTGTCAGGGGGAGGAATAGTGCCCCATCATTAGTGTCAGTGGGAGGAATAGTGCCCCATCATTGGTGTCAGGGGGAGGAATAGTGCCCCATCATTAGTGTCAGTGGGAGGAATAGTGCCCCATCATTGGTGTCAGTGGGAGGAATAGTGCCCCATCATTGGTGTCAGGGGGAGGAATAGTGCCCCATCATTAGTGTCAGTGGGAGGAATAGTGCCCCATCATTGGTGTCAGGGGGAGGAATAGTGCCCCATCATTAGTGTCAGTGGGAGGAATAGTGCCCCATCATTGGTGTCAGTGGGAGGAATAGTGCCCCATCATTGGTGTCAGTGGGAGGAATAGTGCCCCATCATTGGTGTCAGTGGGAGGAAAAGTGCCCCCTCATTGGTCTCAGTGACAGCAATGAGGGGGCACTATTCTTCCCACACTGATACTAATGATGGAGCACTATTACTCCCACTGACACCAATTATACTTACATCGCTGCGCTGACCCCTGCTCCAGCCCGCGCTCCCTCCTTCAGGCACAGACACTTACCCATCAGCTGTCTTCCTTCTCCAGCCGCTCTCCTCTTCTTCACCGGCTCCAGCTGCTCCCTCACTCGATCTTCAATCTTTGCGCTGCCGCTCAGCTCCTCCTCTCCAAGTTCCACCTCCTCGCCTGTGATTGACCACCTGTGTGCCTTTTCTGAGCTACAGATCTGGCGGCCAATCACCGGCAAGGAAGCGGAGCTTGCAGAGGAGGGACAGGCTGCCATAGGCTGCCCAGTGATCCCAAGGGTGTGGCCAGATTCGAGGGGCGGCTTGTCATCCCGCCCACATCACAATCAAGATCCAGGAAGCTGAAGACACCGGACGGACACCCTCTGCACCCCTCCTCCAGCAGTGCCTTGTGGACCGGATCGACACAGGTAAGAAACCGCAGTGCTGCCACCGTGCCGCCCCCCTGAAAAGTGCCGCCCTAGGAAAATGCCTTGTTTGCCTCGTGGCAAATACTCCCCTGTAAATACTGTATTATAATAATAACAACAATCTAAATTATTCACATAATAAAATACTCAAAAAGGTTTCAGAGAAACTACTACTTTTAAAAATACTAGTGCGCAATACAGTATAATACTGAACAGCAATGGCAAACTCAACTGTGTTAACTTTTGAAGACATTCATTGTCATACTGTGCTAGTTTAAAAATCCTGTGCCTTTTCAGAGCTACAGACACTGCAGATATCCTACACTGCCTAGCTTCATAAAAGCCTGGTTCACCATTAAAGTGGAATTTTAGTCAGACAATTAAGTCCTGCTAGATCGCTTCATACTGGCCCCTTTTGGTATAGCTGCAGTATGTAAAACATTAAAAATAAGTGCCTATACAGTTTAAAATCGGGTAATGCATTATAGCACACTGCTCTGTACATGCTCAGTTGCTCTCTATTTTTGGTACTGTGTCAAAAATGTAGCAGCAATCTGCTGACAGCTGAAATATTTACTGCTTCTCAAGGGCTATCAGCTTCAACAAAATGGCAGCGTCCAGGAAGAAGAAACAGAAGCAACGCTGGAGGCAATTTACAGAACACACTAAATTTGGTAGCATAGTTATTAAAGTGGTTCTAAAAGGCAGAAGGTTTTTTTTACCTTAATGCATTCTGTGCATTAAGTTACAAAAAAAAAAAAAAAAAAACTGGGTGCAGCTCCCCCAGCCCACCCTTATACTTACCTGAGCCCCATCTTGATCCAATGATGTGCATGAGAGCCACGGCTCCCCTGGGTTTCTCTTTCCTCAATGGCTCACACAGCAGCGAGAGCAATTGGTTCCTGCTGCTGTCAATCACAGCCACTGAGCCAATGTAGAGAAAGCTTTAAGGGGGGGGGGGGCACCAACCACACCCTGTTTGTGAATGAACAAAGTTTATTCACAGGTGTAGCTTGCTATTGGGCACACTTGGCAAGGGGGAGGAGCCAGGACCACTGGCAGAGGACCTAAAAAGAAGAGGATCAGAGCTGCTCTGTGCAAAATCATTACATAGAGAAGGTAAATATAACATTTTTTTTTCTTTTTCAATAGTAATGTATGTGCAAAGTATGTTTCTTGTTAAAGAACATTATTTTTGATCAAGCTGTTATGGGAAAAATCCTGCTGTAAGCAATGAACTTTCACCCACCAGCCGCTACAGACATATCGTTTCTTGTAGTGATGTGGGGCGCATGTGACTCCCTTTCCTATTATTACACAGGGGAGAAGAGTCTAAGTCTTATCTTAGAGCTTACATAGGGCTTTCTGTGACAATAAAAATGGGGCCATGAAGTAAACTTTCTTGGCCCTGCAGGTGCAATGCACAGGTTCATCTAAAATTGAATTTTGCTAATAACCTTGGGAGCCAGAAAAACATCTCTGTATGTATCCCTGAAACTAGTTTATTACTTAAAGCACTCAAAAGGAGAAGCTTCACTATTTCTACAACCTCCCCCCCCCCCCCTCCCGGTTTTTACAGTTTTCAAGCCCCGAAGTCCTCTGGGACATGTCACAGGTCCAAGGAGACTGCAGGACCATTCCAAGGTGCAGCAAGCAGTCACAGCCGGCTGTCCATATTCCCCAATTCTGGCGCTGGGGACTGAAAACTGGTGAAGAAACCAGCTGGGTGAGGACGGAGCTGGATCCTGGGACATGTAAGTGGCTGTTTATTAAAAGTCAGCAGCTACAGCTTTTGTTACTTTTAATTTTTACACCTGTGACAAAAAAAAATGCTTTAAAGTGATAAAAAAGGAAACATTTTTAAAATAAATTTCATCTGCTAATGTGAAGACTACATGTTGCCTTTTGTTGTTCTGATGTTCTTTCCTGCTGCTTCAGGTGGTCTCCACAACACTGACTGCAATATCCGGATTCAGGTGTTTTCTTTCTTGTGTAGGGTTCTATGAAGTGTTGAGTGCTGAATGGATGTGCATCGGTTCAAGCACACAGCCCATGCAAGATACCCCCCTCCAACTGAGTTGATTGGCTGCTGGCATCCGTACTGCTCCCTTTGTCTTGGGAAAGTGCATTCTCTGTGATCTAAAAGAAAGCTTGAGAAGCTGTGCTGAGGGATCCAGGGGTGATGAATAGGCACCAGGCAAGTGTTTGTATACACATTCCATGCATGTTAAGTTTAACATACTGCTTAGCGTGGATATATTAAAATAAATGTAACATTTAGCACCAATTTAAAGGCCTGAGTTCAGGAAAACCCCACCAGCTGCCATCTCCCTGTCCACTGAGTTTGCCTCAGTGACCATTAGTCACACATCCTTGCAAAGAATAATATAAGTTTGCAGGGTTTAGTTCTGAAGTCAGGCTTCTAGGACTCTAGTTTCAGAGGGGTGTACATAGGAGGTTTTTTGACAAAGATAACATCTGGCATCTTCTAGTGTCTACTTTTAGACCAAACTTTCACTTTTAAAAGTTTAAAAAGGCTGATGGGTTCACCTTAACTCCAGCTTAGTTCTTCGTTTGTGCACATAATAAGCACATTTCCTTTACCGCTTTAATCTGCAACTCCGTACAATGCGGTCACCACACTATCAAGTCCAATAGCAGTAACCATCCCCACAGGGATTGCACAATACAATTTGCTTGCCCAATCTACTATTTAATGCTGGAAAAAAAGAGGAAACACTAATACATCTCTCTGATTTATAGCTCCTGGATATACTTTACCATTGTTGGTTTAGGAGCTCAGTAATGACCTACCTCTAGCAGAAAACAGCATAAACTATTATATAAGAGTTTAATGAAGATAACCGAGAGATCATTATAGTCTAATGAGGGTGCCAATTAGAGAATGGCAGAAAGTAAAAGAGGTCAGCAGATCAACTCCACACTTCTGTAAACAGATTCAGCTATTTAAAAAGGAAGCATCTTTTTCTTTGTGCTTGTGACATGGAGGCACAGCCATCAGCTGTGGCTCAATCATGTAGTCACTGCAGATGATTAAAAGGCTATAGTAAATTATCCCTCCACTCCTGAACCTTAGGATGTGTCGAGAACACCTGGTCATTTCTTATTAACATGCAGGTTAATGCAGCCTTGTAACTGGGTCCAGTTCTTCCTCTATTTGTTCAAAGGTAATTTTATGACGCTGGGTAGACCTTGGATACAGACATGATCATGCATGTCCAAATAGCAGAAAATGGTATGTGCCAAAAACAAGTAAAATATATTTTAAAATATTGTAATTATTGTTAGCCACCTACTTATCCAGGAAATCTAGTTTCTGCGTCTACATGTTTTGTAAATTGCACAATGCCTGCAAACGTAAAAGATTCTTATTTCCTTAGTAACAATCAGAGACAAATCAATGTAAACAGTAGGAGCCAGCAGGATATCTAAAGAGCCAGAAAACAAAGCTCTTTTACTGACAATAACAGAAAAACTCCAAAATCTTCTACTCAGAACTCCGTTTTCTACACTGTGTGCACAATTAATAGGCAAATTGTATTTTTGAGGATTAATTTAATTACTGAACAACTACAGTGCTCTCAGTCAATCCAAAATGTTAATAAACCTCAAACCTGAAATTTTAAAAAAGGTAAAAGTGAGGTTTTGTCTTTAATAGAATATGTATGTGCAGAATTATTGGGCAACTATTAGTGTGCGGAATTATTATGCAACTAAACAAAAAACAAACATTTTCCCATCTCACTTTTTTTTTTCATCTGTTAACTGCTCAAGCTCCGCCCCATAGCAGAAATACTGCTACAGGGCAGCAGCTGTGCGCAAAGTCACGTATATATATGTAATTTTGCATTTCCGGGTAGGGGGCATGCGTGCCTTACCCGCATCGCCATTTGCTGCTGTGGCTGTCAATCACCAGGTCCTGGCCAGTGATTACTGGGTTGCGCCCGGAGATTGCCGAGGATCTCCGACAGGGGGGAGAACTGTTAGTAAACAAAACAGTTCTCCTCCCTGTCAGTGACACCAAGTCAGTTCCCCCCAGTGTCAGAATGCCCGCCGCAGTCCCGCTATAAGTCGCTGATTGCCGCCATTACTAGTAGTAAACAAAAATTCAGTTCTCCTCCCTGTCAGTGACAAACAAGTCAGTTCCCCCCAGTGTCAGAATGCCCGCCGCAGTCCCGCTATAAGTCGCTGATTGCCGCCATTACTAGTAGTAAAAAGAAAAAACAAAAAGCCCAGTATATATACCGCATTTGTAAACGCTATAACCAATTGATTTACACGTATTAGGTTTTTGTTTTTATCAAAGACGTAGCAGAATACAATATGGCCTACATTTATGACGACATTTGATTTTTTAAAACTTTTTTACTGGACATGTTTAATAGCAAAAAGTAAAAAATATAGTTTTTTTTTTTCTCAAATTTGTCGGGTTTTTTTTTTATAGCGCATAAAATAAAAAACGCACAGGCAATCAAATACCACAGAAAGAAATCTCTGTTCATGGGAAAAAAAAAAAGGACATCAATTTAATTTGGATGCAGCATAGCATGACTGCGCAATTATCAGTTAAGGTAACACAGCGCTGTATCACAAAAAATGGCCTGGTCAGGAAGGGGAGTAAATCCTCTGGAGGGCAAGTGGTTAATGTGAGAATAAGAAACAAACAACTCTAAATTTACAAATAAATATTTCTGACATTTCAACAAAAAAATCTGTGACCAATATAGCCACCCTTCTTTTCAATAACAGTCATAAGCCTCCCATTCATGGAGTTTGCC